CTTTTAAATCTAGAATTTCAGAACACTAGGTAATACTGGATGACAAGGCCTTAGTACGATTGAGCTATTTGAAATTTACAAAAACAAGAAATATTCCTCTAAAAGATACGAAGAAAAACTGGGTTTCGAGGACTTCCTTAGTACTATATTGTGAGATGCCTCTCCATTTTGAAGGGAAAGTTGGTAGGAAGGAATTCTGCGGTGGTCTCACCGGAAACCTAAGGAGGATTTCCGCGTAGGCAAGACTGTTTAATTGTGCGAAGATGTGCTCGGCTCACCTTCCTACAGCCCCGATGATACAGTGCTAAACTTTCATCTGAATAGGAGGAAAAAGTGTAGAAAACTGTTGGATAGGCTTAAGTAGAGTGAGTGCAAGAAGAGCGACTGAACAAGAGAAAGAGGCTGGATTAGTCTCTAGTCTAACTAGGACTATCGGACTTCCCATGACGTGAACATTACATACCCATAATAGACAATAGAACTAACACACATGATTCAACATTAGAGGATCGTACACTAGTTTATTTGTGTAAGGAAACACTTCCAGTTCGGGAAGTAACTTTATTCATTTGCAAGCATGTAGAGTAAGGCTGAAATGCCAACTAACTCATAGGGTGCCTCATTAAGATCGCGAAGTTAGGTTTATAAAAAAAGCGACTAGTGTTGCAGTCGACCACCTTTTCTCTTGGTTTAGTATATTTTGGCTCTATTTCGTAAAGTATGGATTCTTGGTCAGATGATGTTTGTCACAGTACAGACGAAAGTTTAGCACACTTTCATCGGGGTCGCAGGACAGTGAGCCAATGACCTCTTCGTAAAATTCATCAGTCTTCTCTACGCGGCAATCCTTCGGTTTCCGATCAGACCAAATCACGAATTCCTTCCCACCAACTTTCCCTTCGGAATGGAAACTCATCTCACAATATTGTTCTCAACTCACTTCCATGTGAGATACATCAATAATCAAACTCGTTTACCATTCAACACATCGACGCTTCAATTGTCTCTTCGTTTGCCCTTCATTGGTCAGATAGAGGGGACCGTACGTTTTAAATGCATGCACACTCTTAACATATACAATAAGGTGAAATGTACTGATAATTACAGTAGTTCTTCAATCTATCTTTACGTTCTGATCCTCAATTGTCAAATATATTCCTCTACTGAATAAGCGATTGTTTGATTATATTCAATTTGAGTGGGTTTCGAAACTACCAGTAGATTTTGAATAAAGGCTACTTACTTTCAATTGGCGTTGCCTCCTACAAGGTTCTTTCATCCCTACTAAAGTGCAGTTTCGACCTCCCCTGGGCCTCATTGGCACTCACAACGGGAATCAAGTCCTGGTTACTCATGTTATCACTGCATTGCATTGCCATGGCAGGCATTGTTAGTCAGAGAGAAGGCGAGAATTTCATGGTTAGACGGGCCCCTTCTATAACAAATTTTGTAGTTGGATTGTCACCTGTATTTGCTATCACAATCGACTTATATTCAGCTTGCGTAGGCTTGCAAACTCAATCGAATCCGATAAATACAACTCATTGTATTGCTAGTTTTTGTTCTACCTTTTTGGTTCTTAGCTTATCCGCTCTGGACATTTAGTACCGTTGTCTGGCCTCTTCACTAGCCCCTCGCCCGCCGGCCTCGATTTGGCTACCAGTTCTCTAATGGTTACATCCGGTTATGAATTAGCCGGCAGCACTTCTTCAGCGGCTGTCAGTAGCTCTTCTGATGGCATAGGCGGTACTGGAAACATTGCCTCCGCAGCAGGTGCAAACAACTCAGCTGTGATGGGACCAAGTCAAAGGGACCAATTCGCTGAGACTGGTATATTGTCTATATGCTTATAATCACTTCGGTTTATGTCTCTTATTTTCATATTTTTCACTGATCTTTGTGTATGGGGAGCCGGTTGCTAATGGATGATAATGGCATGACTTAATTAGTCGATTATAACCAAATAATGAGTAGATCTGCTTTATAGCTTCCTCTATTTCATATATCTCATTCTTTGATGAGAGCAACTCCTTACCTTAGGAAGGTCTGTGTTCACCCCATTTAGTTTTAGGTAATTATGAACTGATAGTTGAATTTTCCCACAATTATATGAGTACTCTTCACGTTTCCACTTAATTTGACGCAGCCTTGCTTCCCAGAAAGTATTATCATCAAGGGTAGACTGTAGTTTCGACGAATAAAGCGAAAATAAATAAGGTAAGGACAATTCTTAAGATCTACTGGGAATTCAAAAACCTGTTATGAAACGAAAATAAGTACTGTAGTCTATTTCTATAGCAACCATGACTCGAACTTCATCGACAATCTCATCCAAGATAGTTTTGTGGAAATGCCTTATTTTTCCTTAAAATTTACATCTGCCCTGTGACCAAAGGGCATTCATGGCAATGCGGCACTGTCATGGTTCGATTTCCGCTGAGGGTGCTGATGAGACCTTGACAATGTCGAAATTACAGTCCAGTCCAGCCTGAATAGGAATACCTCTTGGGAAGCAAGGCTGTGTGAAAAGTTCTGCCTACCCATATCATTGTGGAAAACTTCAACTATCATTCCTTCATCACCTTAAATAAAATAGAGTAAGCACGGTTCTTATTTAAGGTCTACTTGTAATCTCGAAAACATACTTTAAAAAATAAGCTCGAGCGCAGTATAATCGGTACCCAAAGCATTGATCAGCAGAGTTTGTATTTCCTACATTAAAATTTCAAATGGTATTGTCTCCCCAACTGCTTTATTATTTTTTAAGGATATCATTGTGTAGTCTTCATCCTTCAATCGATAACTTATATATTTTGTTGATCAAATACAGTTTTCTTAATATAATTTAACTATCATCGGAAACACGAACTAGTAAAATGTGTTGATCTAATTTCCATTTGGTGTAATCGCGTAACAAATATTTTCGTAGACCAACGAGACCCAGTTGAACCTTTTTTAGTTATATGATAGGTATAATCACATATATATATATATATATATATCACAGCAATCACAGCTGAGCCTAACATCATTTATATATGCTATTCTAAGGCCGCTTAAATACTGAAAATATGTATAGGCTTGTATATGGGTCATTTGTGTGTAATCACATTTGTTGAAAGTGTGATTATTATTTTAACTATAACCAGAGATTAACTAAGTCACATTTTTTAAGGTGAAAGTATTTCAACGAAATTTAAGTAGTTCGGAACTACATTTTTTCGACACTCACTATATTTAATGTATTTCCTGATCTAGTGATTTTGACAGCCTCTTATTTTGTACTTACCAGAAAATACGTAATAATCAGCAAAATGATGAGTCTGAGACTAATTGCTCTCCTTTCCAGATTCCTCCAATTTCTACTACCTGTAGATCATACACATAAGATGTCTCGAATACCCGCTTATAAAACGAAAAATAAGTAACATCGATTGCTATAGCAAATACAACCTTGCTTCAGCGATGATTCCACCACAGAACGTGATATGGAAAATGTCTGGTTTTCCTTGAAATTCACCCCTGCCCTGTGACCAAAGGGAACTCGTGGCAATGTGGCGAAGTGGTTAACGTGTCGAGATTATACGCTGCACTGTCATGGTTCGAGTCCCGCTAGAGGTGTTGATAA